TACGAAATTAGCAGCTGAATCAGAAGCTATGCTGGGGTATGAACCGGCACATGCTTATCTCAAAGTACACAAGGATTGTTAAGCTTAAAACGTCGTGAAGACCTTAAAGCCATGTGGCTGACGAGTGAGATCTAGAAACGGCATCGAATCTGACAAATGAATCCCATCGAGGTATATGGAATACATGTTATTGTATTGTTGCTTGAATCAAGGTAGCCATCGGCCATCTATTATTGTAACGAGGATCGGAGGGTGGAGATTGACGACGATACCGAAGAAGGTCTAGGCTATGTGGTGTTTTCTCGAGCAGAATATTCCCGCTACTATATGTACATTTCCCCAGGCTCAATATATGTTGCTATTCACAAAGAATAGCTTCAAGATGCGCCCATTGACCTAAGCGATGAGAACAACTTTCAACTAAGCTCAGATGTCAATAGTATTACTATAGAGTACAGATCTCGGCAATAAATAGAGTAGTTAATATCCATCTCAAGCGTACATAACAGGTGATATGTGTACATATCATCATCACAACCTGAAGATCGATAATAGACCGAGTCTTGCTATTTTTATTGTGGATGATATATAACGATTTTCCTAATACTAAGTATATTATAATAGCTGATTGCATAAATTGGCAAGCCAAGGCTGGCTTTTGAGTAGAACTGATATCGCCTCTGATGTATTAGTAATTGAAGCTTGAGAACTCGATGTACAGATTGCATCTCGAAGGTGGAAGTGATCGGGGGAGATGACACCGGGTAAAAGTGGGGGTGTTGTTGTTTATGGGGATAAATTTAGTATTTGTGCTCTTGGCGCGTGGCTCGACAGCACGTACGTACCTTTTGGTACCTGAGTCTTCCGGCTGTCTCCACCTACACTCAACTCCCCTTCCCCAAAGATGCGCCAAACTCTTCGCCGATCCTGTACTGCGTGTGCCAAATCAAAACATAGTTGCGACCTCCGCACGCCGCGCTGCACCCGCTGTATCAAGCGTAATGTCCAGTGCAACTATGCGAATGAGCCTTTGACGGCGTTGCCGGCAGCTCCCGGGCGGGGAGATGGCGGATCATCAAGACCACTCGATGGATCCGGCACTTTAACCGCCTACAGATTTGGTTCTCTCGATCCTTTCGATTCATACCCACAGACCAGACTTCCCCGGGAACGAGTACAACGTCTCATCTATAGCTGTACGTACGTTTTCATTCAATGTTGTCGATCAAAGTTGAGCTTACCAAGTTCAGTTATCCACAAGATCGCCTTTCAGTATTACCCTCTCGACCTAAATCCAACGACCAATCCATTTCTCATCTCTTGGTGGCCACTTGCTCTGGGCGATCCGGCATTATTTCATGTCTCGCTGCAGACAGCATGTCTTGACGAAGAGTTGTTGGCCCAGAAGGGCTTTCAAACCTCGGAAATTCTCATGGCCGACTCTGTCTCCTTACTCCGGCGCAAAGTTGAAGACACGTCGTTGGCGGTACAAGATGGAACTATGAACTCCGTAATCACTTTGGCAGCTATCGAAGTGAGATCCCATCCTGAACTATCCTTTCATTAAGACTCATATCTTACTTCCGAATTGATTGCTGATATCGCACCATTTCCAGTTTGGTAAGGGCAATATCAAGGTCAGCCAAATGCATGTTGACGGGGCAATAAGACTAGTCAACATGCGAGGTGGTATCAATTCAGTGAGGCAGACAAGCCCGCTTACCGCGAGGATGATCAGCTGGTAAGTGTCGCCTTGTTCACCTTGAGGGTTATACCATTCACATGCATCATAGGGTATCAATGATCGTCATGGGCCACCCTCAGTTCGAGACCCAAGATGATGTCGGCATTGGAGATGGCATACCGCCTATTCCAGAATGGCAGTTGGATCCCACCTCCCTTTATGATGATTCATCTGAACTCATCAGTATGGATGTCGATTACGCAGTCAGGAATGTCTTCATCCGCCTTCGCAGTGCCTTCCAGCGGGCGCAACGGATACATTTCCCAACCACACGACTTCATGACCTCACTTGTTTTGTCATACACCGACTGTTACTTACAACACCGGATACGGAAAGACCTCAGTCATCATCGATCACCGAATGTATCCGCTACGCAATCATACTCTACATGTTCATTATTCATGGGCCAACGTATTACTCACATGCCGCCATGATGAATAGCGTTGTCATCCGATTTACAGATCAACTCAAGCAACTCGAATCGACTTCTCGTGTGTATGGTTCTCTTGATGCTTGGCTTCTTGCAATCGGCATGGTGGCCTCAGTTGGCACTTCCGAATATCAGTGGTTTATAGAGAGAGCGCAGATTATGGCTGCTTCTCTACGGCTAAGTAATTGGAACGATGTCCTCGTCCGTATCAAGTGTATCCTGTGGATGGAGACACTGCAGGGCGAAGATATCTTTCGACCTCATTGGGACACTATTTTCAGTGCTATGTATCATCCCGGCGCCTGTACCCCACCAGGAAACGCTGGTAGAGAGCTTTTATGCATCTCACCTATCAGCTTGGTACCAAGCAAATCAGACTCAGTCAGTACAAATGGAAGGCCATGGGGCATGAACGTGGCATCGCCTTGATTACTATTACAAAGGGTCGCAGAAAACATCATTAAAGGTTACGAAAACCTTGAAGGAACCAACTACCCAACAGGCACGGTTGGAGTTCGGAATCATAGCCTAGGACTACTTATCCACATGGATACGTTGCGTGAGCTTGCACGAGTACATTTCTATTCGTGCAGGTCTTTCACGGTCTCTAGTCAATACAACATGACGAGTCCTACCTCCTACTATTGACAGTGCTCTATTACTGCTGTCATGCGGAGTTAGAATCATCTGTTCAAGGCTGTGGGGACCAGCGGCAACTGAATCGCTATTGTACCCGCCGATAGGCCCGAAGCATTGGCACTGCCAATATCAACGACATTGAGCTACGGCAACAGCCTCAGAGATGGGATAGTGATTTGTCTTGATGGGATGGTGTTGCTCGAAGGAATGGTACTGACGACATCGCTAACGCATTTGATACTAGAGTAAAAGAGCTAACGTTTGACCCTTAGAAATTAGGGGGGCGCGAAATCACAAAGCAAGCCTTGAAATCCAAAATTACAGCGGCATGTGTGATGCATCCCGTAAAGCTAGGCTTTACACTGCCTCGACTACGAAGACGTCGAAGACTTTAGCATCAAGAAATGCATGTGACCCCGTGAAGTTCGAACCTGCGAGGCCAACCCTTCTAGAGGTAGCAAATCAGTTAACGTCATTTTGAACTTCCCAACTCAAAGACAAGATAATGGTTGTCGGATGGACCGCGATCCCGGGAGGTGCGCCGCATCATCCTTTTGCTAATTTTGAGCTTGGGTATTGAGATAGCTCAGCATATATTATGACAATCTCCGGTAGGATTCAGATACGACGAGACTCATTGCGCAGGACCGCGATACTTCCTTAGTCATCTAAACTTCTCTAAGCCTAGGGAGCACTTCCAAGTATAGGCTCTTGACAGCTAGATGTAGCATTGCATCAGTGACTGGGGCTATCATTTCTAGCCTTGATATATGTAGGGTGTCGCGGGACTTCGATTTCATAGGAGAAATAAATTCTCAATTATCTGCAAATAGAGGTTCCGTTGCTCTAAGCTATGGGGTAGTAAGAATATTCAGGTAGATGCCTTTGTGAATTTCTTCTGGCTACTCAACTCAATAACTATGCTTTGCTAGATCTATGTGGTATTATAAAGAATCCAAGATTAGGATTGATGGGTATTTAGGCATGCAATGATATTAGTCGTCTTGAAAACGCGGTACACTGGGACTTCCCCTCCCCTCCCCTCCCCCCGGTGTTCTTCTACTAGCGAAGGTCGTATCCTGTTAGAGTGTGATGAATAATTAAGAGGAAGTGATATTGGGTCCAGAGAAGAATATGTTTTGGACTTGGTGTGTTGGATCTATCTCCATGTAGAAGTCTTGTGAGCAAATATGTCGATTGGATATCAGAAAGCGTTGGTAGTTAAAGTAATAATAATTTGCGACCATTAAGCAAGGACCATAGCGCTAGCACCGAAGTAGTAAACAATAGTATCTCAGTCCAATGTATGAGACATATCATTCCAATCAAATGGCGTTCTATCATAGTAATGAGGCATACTTCGGAGTTGACCGCTCGGAGTAGCACCTCGGTTTCCCGACATTAACCGTGACACTAATATAATCAAGCAATCAAGCCAGTCAGCCACCTGCATACGTAGATACCACCTTGCTATCAATGTACTACATCGTCATAACACTGCCTTTAACGCGAACGCGATTATTTAATTGGTGGCTGAATTTTGCCCAAGTAATCTTATCTGATACTACTACAGCTGGGCGGAAATGTTATTATCAGCCAGTATGCACGATTGTAATAAGTATAATGAAATTCAGGGGCGGCGATGATCTGCCGATCATACTTCCAGGGACTGACGTTTTGGCCTTATTGGTGGACATTTCCGCCTGAGGCAATCAACATCACACCCCAGCTGGGCCATGTGGTCAGTCCTTTTTTTTTTTTTTTTTTTTTTTGGTGAACTTTGCCTTGTCACCCTAGATTGTGCGAAAGAAGGAAAAGAACAATGGCATGAGAAAGAGAGAAAGGGAGAAAGAGAGAGACAGGAAGGATACACAAAGAACAGCTGCTAATTTTGCGTATCCATGATGGACCGCTTGTATCCATGGTTTTGGTCGCGAATCCACCGCTCATAGGTTTCGAGGGCCAGGGGATCGGCGCTGGTTGGGTAGATTAAAGTTAGCTTCTCGTTGAAGTGGCCTTTCTTCCCCATCTTATTGCGTGTCACTTGTATTGGCATCCGGCGGACGGCCGCGATCAGCATCAGCCCAAACGGCCACTTGTAACTGAAGTTCTCCATACCGTCGGCTTTTCCGCCCTTTTAACGAGAACTGACGTTGATGTTGTACGTGCCCTTTTTTTTTTTTTTTCTTTGGTACAATTTTTTATTCCCGGGCCCGCTCCCCCACAGTCTAAGGTAAGGGTAAGGGTCCCACTGAGTGTAGTTTCCGCTTTACCCCTTCTTCACTTCGGCTTTTCCCTCGTTTTTCCCACCTTCTTTTCCTATTAATATTGATCATGGTGTAAAATAGTCCTTGCGTTCTTCCCTCCTGTCAATTATCTCTCCTCTCTTTTTGTTTTAGCCAGTCATTCTTTGATACCCTCATTTTGACCGTGTCACTTCCGAATCAGAGGGACACACATCGCTCCTTTACGTTCTTTTGGCTTTGTACTCTACGAAGTATCACCTGTATATGCTTGTTTTCATTAGCGTCGTACTATCATTGTGAATTGGGCACCCGCAATCACGCAATATGGCCCGTGGATTCCTCGCTGTCTTCAGCACCCTGCTGCTGTCTATGGGGGCGCTTGCCGAAGATACTTGGCCGTATATGACTCTACAGACGGCTGACTTCACGCCTCCTCAGCTCGAGGTGAAAAAGACTGGAACTACTGACCCAGGCTACATCTTCATTGGGCCTCGGGGTAACCAGCCGAATGGCACTGCGGCCCTCATCTACGATGAGGACGGCAACCTTGTATATCAAGGCCCTACCGAGGTGTCGGCCAACTTCAAGGTGCAAAACTTGTATAACAAAGATGTCATCACCTTCTGGGCTGGTAACATGATGGAGCTTGGCTTTGGCTACGGCACTGTCCACATTCTCGATGACACTTATGAGGAGATCTACACTGTCACCCTTCCAGGGAACTTCATCTCCCCTGATGGCGTTGTAAGAGACTCTTATATTGATCTCCACGAGAGCCACGTAACCAGTCGCAACACTCTGTTGGTGACCGCTTACAACATCACTCAATTTGATCTGACCCCCATTGGAGGTAAAACGGATGACTATATGCTGGATGGCATGTTTTTCGAGATCGATATCGCAACCAACAACATCGTGTATCAATGGAGTGCCCTTGAACATATACAAGATCTCCCCCTGGAACAGTCCAAGCAAGGTCTGGGTGACGACTATGGCACCCAAGAAAAGCCATGGGATGCGTATCACATCAATTCGGTGGAGCTTGTAGATGGAGGATGGATTATCTCTCTGCGTCACTACTGGTCCGGCTACTTCATCGCCGAGAACGGCACTATCATGTGGCAACTGAGTGTAAGCTTTTGCTCTTTGATTCTACTTACTTTCAACACTGACGGTTTATTTAGGGTGAGAAGGGTGTTGGGGACTTTGAAATCGACGATGGTGCCGTCTTCTCGTGGCAGCACGACATGCGCGTCTACAACCAGACGAATGAGGGCATGGTTCTGGACCTGTTTAACAATGCCAACACACCGACGGAAACGGTTGCTCCCACCACTGGTCTGAGCCTGTCATTAGACCTGGTTAACCGGAAGGTCACTACGCTGCGGACCATGAACGATGGTGATGATGTCATCCACAGTGTCAGCCAGGGAAGCTACCAGCTGATGAGTGAGGAAACAAGCCACGTCTTCATAGGTTACGGTTCTATCTCGAAGGTAAAGGAATTCGACGCCAACAATAATGCGGTTCTCACCGCCCAATTTGGGGACGACAATGCCGTTGCGTCCTACCGTGGCTACAAGTGCCAGTGGAAGGCAACACCTTTCTGGAAACCCGCCGTCGTGGTGGAGCGGCACTCAACTTCTGCCACTGTCCATATGAGCTGGAATGGAGCCACTGAGTATGACAACTGGGCCATCTACACGGCTAGCTCTCCTGAGTCTACCGACCATACCTTCATTACATCTGCCAAACGGACAGGCTTCGAGACCGCTGTAGATGTAAACAACTTGAGGAGTCCTTATTTCCAGGTAGTTGCTCGGAAGGGTAACGTTCCACTCAGCAGCATTATTGTCCCTGTTGCTTAAAATCCTCCGTGTCAAGTGTCGAAGACATGCTACATGTCTAGTCGTGGTGCGAACCTAGGTTTGTGTCACGGACGTCGCCAGCCGTGTGCATCTTGTTGGAGATCATGCCACACTTTTCCTTGTAAATCGTTGATTTGTTGTGTTCTTGTATATACTTGCCATTGACTATACATGTAAATACTATCCGCTGTTCAGGATACTGAAATCAGACATGATTGTGACCTTGAAACTATAACCATTCAAGATATTGAGCCTTTTGATTAGCTCCCACTCCTACTACGATACATAGCAAACTATAGCCTACATATATACGGATGATCGTTAGAAGCTCGCCGAGGAACGCCTCGATGCCGCTACGAACAGTGATCACTGGAGTGGGCCCCATGCATGCGCAACGGAGATAGTCCTGCATGGTTGCCCAACATAAAACCACCAGGATGTTAACGAGCGGCGTTACACCAGCTCCGAAATATGTACCTGTTCCTTGCCTATAGGAATGCTACATGTCGGATGTAGCAGTATGAAGCAATTACCGTGTCCTTGTCAAACCTCAAGTACCATACTATATAGACATGATGGTGCCTCTGCAGTAACCTGTGTTCAGACTTGTCGCTCACTATACATACATGTAGTCGAATAAATTCACCGATCATCGTAATACTCTCCATTTGCGCAACGAAGTCAATGGCCTTCTAGTGTGTGTGTGTGTGTGTGTACTTGAGGTACACTGATCCAAGAATATACACAACCCCCCTTGCAGCAACACCACTGTCCAAAGGTAAACCTCGGGAAGATTCTGCAAAGGGTAAGAGATTGAGGAATGTCTGGTCTTACCATGAACCAATGACAGTACACAGAGTATACCAATTTCAAAGATATGTACAAGGATATGGATACAAACTCTACACAGAGCAAGCAATCAACAGTATAAAAAAGCCTTATTCCACCCCCTCCCCCTCCTCTCCACGAAAAGCACAACCCAGCCAAGGAGAAACCCCAAACCACACCATCTCAATCAACACCATCAATCTCAAAACATGCACATCCCATTAACCCCCCTCCTTACCACTATCACAACCGCCCTCCTCCTCCTCCCAACCCTCACACCCGCCAACCCCGTCTACCAGCCCCAGAACCAAACCAATTACCAAAACCAAACCAACTACCAAAACCAAACCGACTACCAAAACCAAACCGACTACCAAAACCAAACCGACTACCAAAACCAAACCGAC